GCTTGGAGGGAATCGCGATCATTGGAATGAAGCAAAGTGTAGGGTTTGCTGGACGTAGAACTGATGATCCGCTCTGTAAAACACTTTGCTTAATTCACAAGAAAAGTTTAGAAAACATTTATTCTCTAAATATTAGCGATGTTGTTATTGTAAGTCAGTTCCGATTCCTAACGACCGTATGTACAACAGTATGAAACACGGCCCGGTCCTGCACCAGCCTCAGTATTGAGGATGATACTATCATAAACCAATCAATGTAAGATGAACAGAAGGATTCTTCTCAAGTCTCTCAGCAAAATTTCACTTGCATGTGATATTAATGATGTAGATACTGTCCACATTCTGTTGGGTCATCTTTCTGTTTTTCGACTGGGCACAAATATAGATCTCTTCCAATCTGTTAGCCAGGCAGCTGTCTTCCAAGACAAAAGGGCACTTCTGCATTTGTTCATACATTTCAATTGACATTGATCAATTCCTGGTTTCCGCCAATGCCTTCAGGGCCGCTTGGACTTCTCCCTTCAGCACCATCGGTACCTCCTGAAATGGTTGAGTGTTGACATTTTTTTTTGGTACAGTGACTCTATTCTTTTCATCTTCCCTTGATACTTCAATATTTTGCCCATGTTGTTGTTAGGTGCTGTCGAGTTAGTACCAACACATAGTGATCTTCTGCACGACGGAATGAAACACTGCCCGGTTTCACCCTCACAATCATTGCCATGCTTGAGCCTCTTGCTTTGGCCACTATGCCAATCCATGCCATTGGGGAGCTTCCTCTTTTTCACTGACCCTCCACTTTACTAAGCATGATGGCCTTATTCATGGACTGGCCCTTCCATTTAGCCCATAGAATCCTTTACTATTGCAACGAAAGACTTGACTTTCTCTTCTGTTGGTTCTGCTTGAGAATGCTTCCCTTTGAGTTTTCTAACTTTAGGTCTTAGCACATTTCATTATAATAGTTTATTTTGTGTTCTCAAGTTGCCCCTTGAAATTTTCTGTTCTACTCTCTTGTATCATTATCTCTCCCAGTTTTGCTTTAGCTTCTGAAGTTCAAGTTTCAGAGTCTCTCCTGACATTCATTTTGTTCTTTTCTTTCTTTTTAATGACTTTGCTTGCTTCATGTATGATGTCCTTGATGTCATCCCACAACTCATGAGTGTTCAATACGTCAAATCTATTCTTCAGGTGGTGGTCTCTAAATTCAGGTGGGATACACCAAAGATCACACTTTGGTTCTCACAGACTGTTTTAATTTTCTTCAGCCTCAAGATGAACTTGCGTATGAGGAACCAATGGTGTCTTCCGCCGTCAGCTTGTGACCTTATCCTGACTGGTGAGACTGAGCGACTTCACTGTCTCTTTCCACAGATGGAGTCACTTTGATTCCTGTGCATTCCATCTGGTGTTTGCAGTCATTTCTTCCCCTTCTGAATTGTGCCCCATCAGCAAATGTAGGTCCTGAAAGCTTTTCTCCAGCCTCATCGTTAAGGGTGATTACTTTGAGGAGCTCTGGTAGCGTAGTGGTCACCAGTTGGGCTGCTTATCTCAAGGTCAGCAGTTCAAAACTACCAGCTGTTCCGCAGGAGAAAGATGAGGCTTTCTGCTCCCGTGAAGATTTACAGCCTTGGAAACCCTGTACAGGGTCACTGTGAGTCGGAACCGACTCCATGGCACATCACCACCACCACCACCTCCACCCTCTTTGAGGAGGCAGCTCTTACTTGCTGTTGTTAAGTGCCATTGAGTCGGTTCCGACCCACAGCGACCCTGTATAGGCATTCCAAGGAGCACCCGGTGAGCTTGAACCACCAGCCTTGTGGTTCAAACCAACCTTGCAGTCCAGCGCATGAACCCACAGCGCCCCCCCAGGACTCTGGTTCTCCCTTGTCATTTGTTGTTAAATGCCGTCAAATTGGATCCAATTCATAGCGACCCTACATGGGATTTCCAAGGAGTGGCTGGTGAGTTTGAACCACAGACCTTGTGGTTCTAACAACCTTGCAGTGCAGCGCATGAACCCACAGCGTCCCCCCAGGGCACCACCTTCGTTGTACTTTCATCGCGTGCCAGTCTGAGGGCTCCGTCTGCTGGCTCTGTATCAGATAATGTCCTGCTGCTATGGTTAGCATTCCACTGCCTTTTGTCATGAAGTGGGTCGCCAGGTCCTTCTTCTGCGTCAGCTCCACTGAAGCCTGTACCCCGTGGGTGATCCTGCCGGGGTTTGAATAATGGAGGTGGAGCTTCAGTTGTCATAGCAACTTGAAAGCCACCACAGTATGACACACAAGTGTGTGGGCAGCCCCAGGGGTTAGGGTTTCATTTGTGCCCACCCATTTTGTGGCGCTTTGCTATGGCGGTCCTAGAAATGAATATGGTCATCTTGGCCCGACCATGAAGAGTTGCCTCCAGCTCCGGGACCACTCTTTCTTTAGAATATCAGTTACACATGTGCAAACTGGAAAGGGATCCTGGGAAAGGCAGGAGGCCACCAGCGTGGCCAGTTTCTGCATTCAAGATTGATGTCTTTTCCAAAGCTTTATCTTTTCAACTTTTTTTTATGGTGAATTGAGGGAAGGTTTACAGAGAAGGTCGTCAGTTTCACAGTCTACAAACGATCCACTTGGTTTCCCCTTGATTGCAGGCCTCTCAGTGTAACATCACTTTCCTACTTCCTCCCTGTGTTTCTTGTTTCCAATCCCCCTTCTGAATTGTGTGATACGGATGCATTTTTGTAGCCTTCTGTTTGAACTGGTATTTTCACACAATGTTGTTGCTGTTAAGTCGGTTCTGACACATAGCAATCCTAAACACAACAGAAGGAAGCACTGCCCAGTCCTGCTCTGTCCTCCAGTCCTAACAACTGAGCCCACTGCTGCTGCCCCTGTGCCAATCCATCTCATTGGGGGTCTTCCTCTGTTTTGCTGACCCTCCACTATATCAAGCATGTCCTTCTCCAGGGACGGGTCCCTCCAGATCACTCATCCGAAGTAGGAGAGACAAAGTCTTTTACAGTTTCATGTCCAGTTTCTCTGTGGACCACTGGAGCCACAGTGTGTGGCTTTGACCCTTCGGATGCCGCCTTTTGGAGACATGGACAGCCGTGTTTCTACAGTGCTGGACTCCTGGTGTGATGCTGTAGGATAGGCACAGGACTGTTAACACAAGGCTGGTGGTTCCTCAGAAGCCATATATGGAGTCTCGATGAGTCGAAGCTGATTCAGTGACACTCAGAGTGATGATGACAGCATTGGTTGTAACTCTGAAACGGCCACGAGCAGGTGCACGTGTGATGAGCTGCGCGGTGGCACTCCCGTCCCCGAGCCGCCAGTCAGTGTGACCTGAGAGGCCCAGTGTCAGGAGCTGCAGACACAGAGTAATGCTGAGGACTAAGCAGAGCTGCAGACTTATTCGTGAGCCCAGATTCGACTAGAAACCAATGCACAGCAACTCGCAATGGGAACTGGGCCTTTCCCGGACCCTAACAAACAGATCGTAGACTTAGTACGGAGAACGCCTGGGAGATGGTGCAGGAGGAGCGGTCCTGAAAGAGCCCGGATCTCCTCCACCCTCCAGTGCGGCAGAAAGCATGGAACTGGTGCGGGACAGGCCAGTAGGCCAGAGATGTACCCAGGGGCCTTACCGAGCAGTGGGGCTGGGCGGCTTCCCTGGCACTTGAATTATGGGGTGCAGACCCAAAGGATCACACTAATGGACCTACATGTCCTCTGGGGGCTCATGAAAAGCTGGGAGGGGAAGCTTCCTCCCTGTGGTGTCTCCATGGGCTGGTTCAGGGCCTGATGGTAGGGACCCCGTCCACCAGCCTTCTCTGTCGCTGGCCTCGGCTACACTCCATTCTGCCTTGCAACGATGCTACTCTGTTGGTCCTCTGTTGCTTCTGGGCCCTACTGGCCTCTGGTGCCAGGTGTCTGGCTGTACGTGGGGAAAAGCAGTTCCTCACTTTACACCATTCATAGTGATCATAGACAGCAGCGTGCATTAAAGGCACAGAGGCATTACATCTTTAGAAGAAAATGCAGAATAGAAGACAGAAACCGCAGACCACTCAGTCCTCGTGTAACTTGTATACAGAACACTGACCGTCCCCTCAGGGCTCCTAGATTGCATGCCTGAAAAATCCAGCCCAAACCCTCAGCCATCGAGTGGATTCCAAGTAGAGCTATGCCCGACGGGACTATCAAGCCTGCAAATCCTAACAGACTCAGCCTGCCACCTTTTTCCCGAGGACTGGCTGGTGGGTTTGAACTGCTGACCTTGCCCTTAGCAGCCCTACACCTAGCCTGCAGTGCCGCTAGGGCTCCTAAGCTTGTACACAGAGCGTTTCAAATTCAGACTAAAGATGGTGAATCAAGGAAGCTGCAGAGAACACAAAGGCTCCACCCATCCACAGGGCCTCCGGAGGTGAGGGTGTAGGCTTTCAAGATGGCAGGAAGACGAGTTGGAGCATGCTGGGAAAGCATCCTCCCTCTATGTCCCTCCACAGGGGCAGGCGGAAGTGGACAGTGTGCTGGGAATACGCTGGAATGAAACCAGACCTGAAACCTCTGGGGACAAGGCAGCCAGCTCTCCAGGGTCCTTGGGACCTGTGTCTCCTGCAGCCTGAGCGACCCTCACAAAGACCCATAGGGTCAGGGAGAGACCTTTGGCTGTGCCTGTCCAGGAGGGCCTCTGCGCACTGCAGGCCTCTTGGCCCTGAAGTGAGGGCTGGCCACCCCGAGGCCACTTTGAGGCCATCCAGTGACTCTGAGGTGCCAGTGGGGGAGAGCAGCCTGTGGTGACCTAACTCTTCCTCTCCTTTCTCCCTTCTCTGGGGAGGCCACGGTGGGGGTGGAGTGGGTGGGGTAATTGTCCCAGACTTGCTGGAACATCCTCTGGCTCTTCCTCCATCCCAGGGACCCCTTGGGTTCTGCCGGCTTGGCCTCAGCGAGTCTCCCAATGCCCGCCCGCGCGTCCTGCCCCTGCAGGAGGCCACCGACCTGGATGATCTTCTCGGGAATGTTGGAAACCGTGAAGCCATAGAGACGCACTCGCTCTGGGAAGATGCTGGATAGGATGCGGCGGTCCAACTGGAAGGCGATCTCTCCCACCAGCCGTTCCCAGGCCAGCAGCTTTGACTCTGGCGGCGAGATGAGTGTCGTCAGCCGAGGCACAGTGCGCGCGTGGTTGGGGGGCGGCGGGGCGGCCGAAACTACTCACCTCGGGGGCTCTCAGGGAACTTACTGGCCTTGCGGTGGGCCAGCTTCCGCTCCAGCTCCAAGATGCTTTTCCGAGTCGTTTCCGTAGCGCGCGACCCCCGGGCGTCGTTGACGGAAGCCGGAGGACAAGATGTGCGAGACTGGGAATGTGAGGTGATGGAGGACCGGGTGGGGGAGTGGTGCGAACGGGTCGGGGAATGGGTGGCGCCCTGGGCCATGTGGGTCCCACTAGAGGACGCACAGTTGGTGGCAGCAGCTTGGGGGGCGGGAGTGGGAGCGGTGGGGCCAGGGGCTATGGAGCAGGCACTGGAGGAGGCCTGGACGGAGACGGGGACAGCCTGCCCCTGGGGGGCAGTGGGCTGGGTCCGGTGGTCGAAGACGCCGCCATAGGAGAAGGCTGTGGTGGGGCTGTTAGGGGTGGATGTCTGGATTGGCTGCCCCACAAATGTCACGCTGAGGGCCTCCATATCCTGGGAAGTCCTGGGGCGGTCAGTGGACGTCACTGCTGGAAATGGGGAGACGGGGAGGTTCGGAGCCAAGCAGGTGGGCCCCACCTGGCTGTTCCCTCCCAGGCACCCTGCCACCCCGCCCATCCTGCACAGTTACCTCTGGTGTGGGCAGGGGGGCCTGAGCCAGCTGACTCCTGGGGTCCAGAGGGGCACTGGCGCGTGGACTCCAACAGCCGTACCCTGGTAGTCTCTGACAACACCAGGTTGCCCATGGGGCTGGCCAGCAGGTTCTGAGGCACATTCGTAGGGGCTGTCGTAGGGGCAAACAGGGGGTTGCTTGGAGCCAGGGGCCCAGTTGAAGTCAGTCCAAAGGAGCTGGTCAGTGTGCCTGCTGGGGGCACTGCCATGGGGCTGCTTGGGGTCAGGGGGCCAGTGGAAGGCAGGCCCAGGGAGCTGGTCAGTGTGCCCACTGGGGGCACTGCTACTGGGCTCATTGGGGTCAGGGGGCCAGTGGAAGGCAGGCCCAGGGAGCTGGTCAGTGTGCCCACTGGGGGCACTGCCACGGGCCCGGCCAGGATGCTGCTGAGCTGGTTGCTCTGTGAGATGGGCATGGAACCAGACAGCAGGGCGTTGAGCTGGCCTGTTAGTGGGCTCACGATGGATGCCACTGTGGTGCCAGGCTGTGGGGTGCCCAGCATGTCAGCCATGGGGGCCAGAGCCACCATCCCCATATCTTGCAGGCCTGGCTGGTTGGCTGCTGCCGGGGACGTGGGCAGAAAGACACCTGGTGGGGGACACAGAGAGAGTGCTCAGACCCAGCAACGAGCCTCCATGGAACGGGGAAGGCAGGCTGGGGCTCAGTCCTGACTAGCTGGGTGCCCTCTGGACTGGTTCACCTCTGTGATCCAGGGTAGGCCTGGGTGACAAGTCCTCCTACATTTGAGGGTGTCGCCCAGACCCACGCACCTCCATCCTCTGTGGGGGCCCCCTCCTGTCCTCTGTGCGCTCCTTAGCCCCCCCTCTTACTCAAGTCCCCCTTCAGCCTCAGGTGCACATCTCTTACCACCTCTTCTCCCAGCCACGGGGACACCTCACACCCCAAAACTCGCCCACTGCTCTGAAACTGCTGGTGCCCTCAGTGTGCCCCCAAGTGGACTCACAAGTCACCAAGTTGTCCTCGCTGTTACCTGGAGAGAGGAGTAGCCCATGAGTTGGGGGCCGCTGGCTCCTGGCGGCAAGCTCATGCAGGTGCAGACAATAGAGAAGCTCAGACCTGGCCAGCAGCCCCCCAGACATCCATCTCATAGGCTTCACTATCCTGGAGCCCCATATGGAATTCCTGGGGCACTTAGCCAACCACTGTTTGGGTGGGACTGAGGGGAAGACCCCTCAGAGGTACAGCTGGGGAGAGGAGACAGCAAATACAGGGATGGTCTGGTGAGTGTGAACCTAATTGAAATCTTCCCCATTCAATTTTTACTGGCATGGAAACAGTAATGCTCACTACAGGATTATATGGGGACACAGACAGGTCCAAAGAGAAAGCCAACACCCCTGCAGGTCCAGTCGCCGCTGTCCATGCTGCCTAGAAGATGTTTTCCAAGTGTGCAAGACACACTTCAGGGAAGTGCCGAAAAGGGCCAGATGGTAAACAGGTCCAACCTCTTGTGGGCAATGTGTTCGCTCTCTGGTAGACAGACAGATGCCAACCATATCCAGAAACAGAGTATTTGATGTGCTGAAAATGTGAAATTGTCCACTAGAGATTAGTAGTTGAGCACAAGTAAGCCTATGCTTATCTTACTTATTGGGTAATCCGTGTTGGCTTTCTCTTTGGACCTGTCTGTGTCCCCATATAGTCCTGTCCCCATATAGTTACAACAACTCAACTCTGCTGTCCTGTCAAGACTTTGCTTCAGACAGGACACCAATGGATGGACGTGTCATGGACTGATGACCCCTGAAAAATGTCAAGTTCAGTTTTGGTATGGAACAAAATCAAAACTCATAAAAAAGACGAGGTTTACTGGTTGGATAGAGACTCGTGGAGCCCACGCTACTGACAGCTAGTTATCCTTCAGGCCTGGAAATGAACACCCACGGCTCAGTTTTCAGCCAAACAACAGACAGGTCTATGAGATGAACAGTAGGAATAGTGAGCTGTACACGCATTAGAATAATCAACCATTTGAGATCCAAACGGCAGCATTTGCCTAAGCAGAAAATTCAGAAGGCAGGAAGGTTTAGGAAATAAAGACATGGGAACAGGAAACACAGGGAGACAGTGGAATAAGTGATGTTACGTTGTGAGAATTAAAATCAGTGACGTGAAATGTCTGTGAAATACTGAATGGAAAGCTGATTTGTTCTGTGAATCTTTATGTGATTCACAATAAAAAACAGGTCAGTGTTGGTGGTGGTCGTTGCTCCTTTGAATACCAGATCGTCCTTCTGCGTGGTCTTTCGTTGGAAGCAGCATGAATTGTTTGCCACGATCGCCCCCTTGTGGAGGTGCCATTGTTTACGGAGCCAGCCAGTCCTTAAGCATTTCAATTCCAGTTTCCCCCACCAACAAGCAATCCTACTACATGTTGTTGTTGTTGTTAAGTGCCGTTGAGTCGGTTTCGACCCATAGCGACCCTGTACAGGGTTTCCGAGGCTGTACATCTTTACGGGAGCAGATTGCCTCATCTTTCTCCCGCGGAGCAGCTGGTAGTTTCGAACTGCTGACCTTCTGGTTCGCAGCCCGATTCATAACCACTATGCTACCAGAGCTCTTTATCCTACTACATAAATAGGTATTACTGGTTTTCTTGGAAATGAACATTTCAGAGGCTCATGACGCACAAGGCTCAGTCACCTTTCCTTAAAACCTCCCAGAAACGTTCTGACACGCATCGGAAGTGTCTTACGTGTTGCTTCACTCAATTGGTTCTCACTCAAAATATGTCATAAGAGGTTCTGCTGTCGCCTGTGCCTTTGGAGTTTTTTTCTCTTCAAATGAATACATTAAAATCGCATAATCAAATCAAGTAGTTTTTTTCTTTCTGAATTCAGTTTTGTTTGGGTTTCATGAACATTTTTGATTTGGGAGCAAGGAGATGATAACGTTTGTGGCTGAAGAGAAGGAGTCCACGGAATGGGAGAATTTGGAAGAGAAGAAAAATTGGGGCCAAATAAGGGAACTCAGAGCCCTCTGTGGGGAGGGGGCCGTTTCCGCCCAGCTCGGAAGGGCAGGGCAGACTGGAGATGTCCAAAGGGGAAGACAGGTGTTTGGTTCCACAGGAAGGGGAGAGAGGAAGGTCAGGGGGGCTACAGGATGGTAGGGCGGGGACGGATTACCCAGTGAGATAAGCATAGGCTTACTTGTGCTTAGCTACTAATCTGTCAAACTCACTGGGCAGGAGTGGAGTGCCCAGTAAGCAAGGCAAGCACAGGTTTACTTGCGCTTTCTTATGAATCTGTAGAGAACAGTTTCACATTCCTTGCACCACAGCTTTGATTTTCATCACACCCCACAGCCCTCTGTCCTGGCAGCCAGGCCATGATCAGACTCCGAATGTTTGAAGGCTCCAGGGCACAGCTGTTCTCTCTGGTGACTGCTCTGAACTGACTGGCCATGTGTGTGTGTGTGTGTGTGTGTGTGTGTGTGTGTGTGAGGGCTGTGAAGGTGGAGAGAACTAGCTTCACAGGGAAAGAACCCCAGTTTGCACTTGGAACAAAGTTGGCTTCTGGTAAAAAAAATCACTAAATGAGACAAAGAAGGTTACCTTATGACCCAAAGAAAAGATAATACTAACATATATAAAGCAAAGCCCACAGAGCTCTCATGAGGGACGAGACCCTGTATCCAGAGCCAGGGCAGAAGGAACGAGGGACCTGATAACTCACAAGAAGTCCCAGGGTGGTGCAACGAGTTAAGTGCTTGGCTACTAATCAAAAGGTTGGTAGTTCAAATCCCCAAGGTACCTTGGAAGAAAGGCCTGACCATCTGTTTCTACTGAAACCCTTATGGACAGCAGTTCTACTCTGACAAACTCCATGGAAACTGGTGTTTAAGACCTTTAATAAAGCTGATCTGATCCTTCAAAGTCCTGGTATGATGCTGTAGGATAAGCACTGGATTGGTAACCATGAGGTTGGTGATCAAACCCACCAGTGGCTCCTTGGGAACCCTATACAGGGTCACCCTGAGTTGGAGCTGACGCAACAGCTCTTAATAAGAGCAACAATCACAATACAGATCTGGACCCTCTGCACTTGGAGGGGATGGCGTGGTTGTGGCCGCTGGATGCTATTTCTGGTAGGAGGAGCTGAGTGGGGTAAGGGAGTGAAGGACATTGACTGTCTTGGAGTGAAGGAGGCCAGCGGTGTAAGTGTGGGTTCCAGACCCGAGATAGGAGTGCTGAGGCCGGATGAGTGTGTGGAGAGGAGGAGACAGGTGTCATCGTAAGCAAGGCCTTTGAATGGTAGAAACAACCAACTGCAGAAGAATCGTTCAGCCAATTATGAGCTGTTCCCTGTAGTTTTAACTGAAATCATTCAAAGAGCTGTTTTCACAGAAAAGTCCTAGTGTGGTGCTGTGGGATAAAGCAAGGTTGGTGGGAACCACGAGGCCACTGTTTCAAACGCACCAGCAGCTCCTTGGAAACCCTATACAGGTTTGCTGACTTGACAGCATTTAACAAAAATTTTCATAGACGGAATCCTGGTGGCACAGTGGGTTAAATATGGTAGCGTAGTGGTTACGAATCGGGCTGCGAACCTTAAGGCCAACAGTTCGAAACTACCAGAGGCTCCGCGGGAGAAAGATGAGGCGTTCTGCTCCTGTAAAGATTTACACCCTCGGAAACCGACTCGACGGCACTTAACAACAACAACAACAACAACAGACAGATTGGCAGTTTAGATCCACCAGCCGTCCTGCAGGAGAACAATGAGGAGGTCTGCTCTGACCACAGTGGATTGGGCTTCTGGTCTGGTTTACTTACTTCTTTCTTTCTTTAAAAGTTTTATTGTGAATTATATGATAGTTTACATGGGAGAACATTAGTTTTACATTCATCCTATCATATATCGTTTCATTGCCATGGTTACAATCCCCTCCATGCATCATCAACCAACCAAAGGGTATATACCCTGCAAGCCTGCCCCCTACACTCCCCCGACCCTGGTCGTCAGCACACAGCCCCTCTGCCCTCTCTGTGTCTAAAGTCCCCAGCTGCTACGTCATCATCGTCTCTGCCTCCATCTCAGGCATCACTGCTTCCATCTCAGGCATCACTGCTTCTCTGGGTAGGGTCCCGCTCTCTGCTCTTCTCCATTGATGGTCCTAGGGATATCTCCGCTCCTAGACTGCAAAGTTAATCACTCCCCTCCTTGCTATAAAATGTCTACCTTTACATTTCCAACCCTCACAATCAGTTCTGATAACAATTATTCACTATTGTATCAAAAGAGACCAATATGCATTTCATTTCATCAGCCCCGCCTAGACAGATTGAATACTACTCACTGGAGATTCTGCCTTCCTCCAGGCACTCTGGATCTAGATTCCCTCTTGAAAGCTTGTAAGCCAGTCACTTCTTGCCTTTGTAGCCCCTCCCCCCCCCATTTTGGGTAGCCAATGTCCAAGTTGCCCATGTGTGTGGAGGGGGTGGGAATGATTCTTGCTGTAAGGATTTGTTCCCTCTTTTGAGCTACTGCATCCATAGGTGTAGGTCAAGTTCATCAAATTGTATCAGATTACACTTTTTTTCCTCTTATTTCTTCTTCTGGTTGAGC